CCCAGAGAGATGAAGAGATTCTAATATGGCTGTGATAATTATGTCTTTGAAAGTATAATTAAATTTACGTTCCAAAGTGGAATACAATGCTGTATCGTCAAAATTCAACCTTCCCTATTTGCGTTTTAAATCAGTGAATGCTTGCAACGGCAAAGAAAAGAAAAAGCTAGGTTCAAGTGCCTTAGGCGACTCTACAACGATTACGGCTTTCAGAAAAAAAAGTGTTTCAATCTAATACGAAGTCTTCCTAATTAAAGACTCTTTAGGCTTTCACCGACGACTACTTTAGCAAATATGACAATCTTACAGTGCTGTCACTAAAATCACGAGTTCCGAAGATTTCTTTACAAGTGTTCGAGTCACATTTTTGATTCTGTACACTGTAGGACACGGCGTGTTATGAACTGTGTGACTTTTAAGATGATACTTGGGGACCTTTCTATAGTCATTCAATGAACTGTAAAAAATTAAAGATGAGCAACAAAATTAAACTGCTATTTTAGACTACCGAACAACCTTTAATAAATAAAAACTAATTAGCAAACTTTTGCGAGAAAGCTTACGGAAATTAACAACATAACTTTTCGATGGGCCAGATCATACTTTTTCCCTCTGAAACGAATACAAACACATGTGTAACTGACTGTATGTTTGTCTTTTTAGTTTGTGTATCTATGTGCATAAAATTAAATTGAAGCATTACAACGCCTCGGACATCCAGTGGTACCCTTTCACATATATCATCTGTTAAAGAAGAAGGAAATTAAAACACAGCAACATATATCCTTCTCATCAACGGTTTTCTGTTGTGCTTTAGCTTTTCTACCTATCTGGTGATACTGAAAACAGAAACAGTGTAGGGATCAATTTTGTTGTTGTTTCATGACCACTCCGTCACTACATTATTGTAAAATAATTTAACACAGCTGTAATAAAGTTCTGCCACTTATATCACCCCCCCCCCCCCCCCTGAGATTGGTTTTTTTGTTGCGTTTTCTTTTCTATTGTACTTGGTGAAATGAAAAAAAAAAAAGGTAAGGGATGAAATTTTTTTGTTTTTCCATGCCCCCCCCTCTATACATTTTTTTAAAAAAAATTAACACGGGCTTAAAAAAGTTCTGCCACTTATATCCCCCCCCCCCCCCCGCCAAACTTAACAAACCCATATTTTAAAGATACATGTATATGGCCATAAAGAGGTAATTCCTGGTGAGTTTTGTAAAACGAAACATCGTGAACAACAAGGGTTGCTAGACAGAAGAAAAAGAGACAGAAAAGGAGCCTTGGCGACGGTTGCCAGCAAATGAGAGACCTTAAGATGCACCGTTTCCGTGTACAGGTACCGGTAAATTACTCGTTCGCGTAGCCGTTAGTACGGGTAAATTGCCTCTTACCCCGGAGAAACGGATATGCTACCGGGTAGAACAGTGATGCCATTACCACATCTGGGAAATCATGGTCGCCTTTTGTATAACTGCGTGGCAAAAATATTCGCCTACCCGTACCCGTAGGTAGAAATTAAACGGTGTATAGACTCGCTTTACTGCACGGGTGACCGTGTTTACGCCTATGTCCTGTTTGTTCGAAAAAAATAAATATATAAATAAATAACATGCCTGGTTAATACTTAGAGTAACTAGCATTCGTCTTAGAATCGAGGGCTACGGACAGATAATGACGGGTGTCAATCACTGTAAAACCGCAAAAGAAACTCATCGAATGCCGAAATGTCGGGAACGCTATATTGCATCTCAAAAGTGGTTAGAATAACGACCAAAATCAACGCTCAGAGATTGTGAGAAAACGCGATATATGGTCCTTAAAATCTCAGGTTTCCGGACGTTGTATTGATGTTACAATTTCAAGGTCACGATACATAATTATGCTTTCCGTTTCAATGTAAGCTGAAAGAGCTTTTGAGAAGTAGGGCTTACAACAAAAATTCATCGAGATATAGGCATTTCTTTTTCCCGGAACCTGTGGTTTTTCCTTATTGTTCAATCATGCATGTTTCAGGACGTTTCAACACATTTCAAGGAGACACTCTGCTCTATTGCACTGTGCCTTTGTTGTACCGGTTATGTAATCGTTTCCTCCAAGGAAGAACCACTGGCTGCAAGGTAATATGAGAAATAAATTTATCTTTGCAACTTAAATCCCATGTACGATTAAAACATTTTTCAGTTTTCAGTTATTGTTTTCCGCAAATGGCAACGCCGATACAAAGGTCCTAAATGCCCTGCATTCCCCGCAATCTGAAGTATCTTTGATCTGATCTCTGACAAAAATGTGTATCATTTGTTGTTTAGCTTTTGTCTATTTTAATTTGTAAATGTCTTTTCTTTTCGTTAGCTGCAGAAAAGCCAACCCTTCCTGTAATTTACTTGAAATAAGACAAAATGAACCCTAATTAAACTTAACATGCAATAACAATATTGTTGTTGCCTTGATGGTAGGTTTACATGTAGTACAGGCCTTCTTCCCTAGTATCACAATTGCTTATTCATCAAAGATCGTTGTGATAGGAATAACTGTTTTAGGAACTAGTTTTTTTGGAGAATTTTTATTCGATATTTTTTCTCTGATCGTCCATTCTAGTATTGAGTCCCTCTGAGAAAGGAGGTTGTCAATTAGGGAGTTATCTTTGAGGTATTCAAGTGCTTTCTGGGACTGGCAGGAAAATAAAATGAATAATCAATAAATGACCAAGGGGACTCATTATCTGATGATTTTATTCACGATTCTTTCTTTCTTCCCAATAGGTACAGCGAAGCGAAAATCAAACAAGGGTAGCCTTGTTGGGCAACGGGCGGATAGGGGAAAGAGGGCAATACAAAGAGTGGGGTCGAACGAGCCAGCTATGTATGCAAGAGTCAAAACACTAATAAATTAAAGGTGTAAAACGAGATGGTGGACAGGAAGATGGGCAGAGATTGCACAACAAACGTTAGACATCATCCAGATTGAGGCCACCGCTGGTACTGTGTAATGACTTCTGAAGAACGACCGCAGAAATTCCATACTCTGATGACTTAATTGTCACTACTAAGATCTAAGGTAATGCTTCTGATTGGTAGTGCTGCGAAGGAAATTTGCTTCAACCAATCAGAGGCACTACCCAGATCTGGAAAGTGACTCACCACCAGTATGGAAGTTATGTGCCCGTTCTTCAGACGTCATTTGGTTGGGAAACCAGTGGTGCCATCCCAAAATCTCGCTCCTTTCTAAGGATAGACCTCGTTCCATGTCTCTTAGTTTTCTTTTCTTTTCTCTCCTTTTTTGTTTTGTTTCGTCTTTTAGTCTTTTGCTGATTTTCCTTTTGAACTCTTGTTTGTATTAAATATATATTTTATCTCGGTGGCTTGTAACTTTCTTGACTCCGGCAAGTACTGACATTTCAGATAAAGATCAAGTTGGGTTGGCCTAGCACATTTTCCATAGGAATGAAAGAAAATTGACGAAAAAGTTCGCTCTCGCCTTAAAATTAATTAAACACAGGAGATGAAACTAGCCCAACAAATGTGTCTATTTGATAATACCATATAATCCTCTAAGAAAGCAAGTACGAAATATAGAATTATCTGTAAAAAAAAAAGAATGAAATTACTTATAACAGCAAGACCATTAAACAAATGTATTCGTGATCAGTAACCCCAGCACAGATCTGTGTATACAAAAATTTTGAATACTTACAGTAGTACTTATAGTGACAGCCTGATGGAATCTTACTACTATTTGATTCTTTATTCAACAACTGGGTCAATTCAAGGAAGTTGCAGAGGCCTGCTTGATAAACCTTGACTCAAAGAAAATCTTTCTATAGTTCCTTGTAAGTTATTCAAATACTTGTACAGGGAATATTGCGAGAAATGTGACAACCTTTAAGTGAAATAACTGTATACAGTCTTAGATTTCACTAATCGATAGGCACGTTCCCGAAATGGATCTCTAAGCTAGTCCCTACCATATTCTCGCTGTAGGATTTTCTTTGACTATCATCGGGGAAGCACCTGTCCATTAAAAGGCTTTGTCTGGAGAGCATTGTTGTTTTATTACTGTGCTGAAGATATCACTTAGTACATGTACTTTTACCCTTACACAAATCTTCTAGAAGTAGATATCGATTAATTTTACAATGGAGCACCAACTATAATAATTTTCAGGATGATTTTTTACAGCCATACGTAGCATTAGATTTTTTAAAGAAAGTTTCAATCCATTTCCATCTTTGCCATCCTTTGCAACAGACGACAAAAAACAGTATTAATGCTGACAGTATGTAATATAGTCTTAAATTACAGAATTAGATCATTTTTTGGAATTCAATTGATGTGAGGAAAGTTTTAGCTTTTTAAAAAAATAGAAAGACAGACGTTTATTGCCGGTCCCAATGATACGATGTCCATCTCACAAAACTGACTGTAGTTTGTACGCCACCACACATTTAGGCAAACACGTGTTATATTATGGTTCCAGTTTACAATGGAACCCTAGGGGGGAATTGGAAGCAAATTTCTGGTCGATTTTTCATCATGTCCTAATTGGATGAAATAAAGACCTCTACATTCATACCGCAGTGGACTTTTGTTTGTGTCTTCACCGATGCATGAGTTCATTCGAATGAAATTTCTTAGTGGTCAAATAGTCAAGATTTGAACATGTTAATTCACTCTTTAACTTATTTTATGTCTCAGTGAATATTAAAAACATGTTGATAAAATCGCACAATCCTTCACAGAAGTCTTTCCTTTACTTACAACCTAGACACCTCTAAAAAGACTGAAGAAATTCCTGAATTAAACACTTAAAGCATAGGATTGTACAGGGAATATAATGAAAGAAAATGATGGTTAATTGACTGACTTAGCTGAGAATATTATGGTACTTTGTCTGCGTTAATCAAGGTATTTTTCAAAGGTTGTCAACTTATGCACCTAGTTCACTTGTTATTTTTGTTCTTCTTGGTAGTTTTTGAAAAAATAAAGTGAAGCATAAGAAGTATGAAATCTGAACGCGATCAAGGTATGAAGGAGGAAAGAAAGAAAAGACAAATTGTTATCATTTACCAGTAAAATGAGACAAAAAAAATTGAAAATAGCCACAGCAACTCAATTCTGACCAAAGCTCATACCACCGACAAAAGTAACCCTTCACCGTGAACCTTCCAATCAATTTACTAACTACTATCTTATTTTCCTGAGTTTGTCTCTGAAATAAGGACAGGCCTAAGTTCATACCGTTGATCAGAAACATGGTTATTCTTAAGGCCCAACCAATCGATTACGTTTTTTTACTCCTACTAAAGCTATTAAATGAGAGTTTCAAAATATTTTTTTTAGCATGAAACTGTTTTTTTTTTATCTGTTAAAAATATTTACCCTGGTCACGAAAGATGAAATGCAACAACATTAAAAAAAAAAATGCCGAGATTTTGCCGAAATTAAACTAAAGGAAAAAAGAAAACAACAACAACAATAATAACCAAAACAAAATCGTGTCTCCGCCGACTTCAGCAGTCAATTAGGTCAACTGAAACTTGCTTCAAGACATCTTAAGCCAAGGTAAACCCACAGTTATAAATAAATACAGGTCTTCAGAAACTGGAACTTTGCTCTGATGGAATCTCTATCAGAGGAGAAAGAAAACCTGACAAACACCTTTCTTTAAGATAATATCACTGGTGTTGTTTTCCATAAACGTATCAAGATGTGGCATTAAAAGGAACCAAGGTGCAAATTCCCACTAATATGCGTATGTAATAACCTGCCTTTCTTAATGATATTTAAGACTACGAACTATATTTTAAACGCTGGGAAAAGGGGGTGGAGGAAACCTCAGCAGTGGTCAGTATTAAAGGCATGTAAAGACACTTGACCCGAGAAAATGAAATTTATGTTAACGTGTCTTATAGTAAGTGAAATTTATTGTTGTTAAATACTTTTAAGGCCATTATAATCTGATAAAATAAGGTTCGATTATTGAGATATAAATATAATTAAATAGATCAACATGTTCATTTCTTTTGCACCTTGCGAACCAACCACAAAACGGACATTTACATTTGAACAAAAAGAGCCGAAGTGCTGGAGCATTTACATGTTAAGTAATGTTTACCCTTCCTGGATACATGCCATATTGTTGATTTTATTAAAAAATAGTATTTTTTTAAGCGTTCTTATATGCAAGGTTACTTGTGTATAGCTTAAGCAGAGTGTCAAAATGGGCCCGGCATGAGAGATTTGATGAAATTAATGCTTAATGTCCCCGCATGGAAAACAAGACACATATAAAGGTATATGAGCACAGTGACCTATATCACTCATGAGAACGTGATCACAGACAGTTGTTCCAGGAGGCAACAAAAATAACAACGATCTTCCTTTCCTTTCCGTTGAAGGTTACTTAATTTTTACTGTGTTATCATAACAGTATGGAGAAATGAAGTCAAAAATGGCCAATAATGACGTGATATTATATTACTGCAGAAATATTTCGCATGGTGTCAGTTTTAACTTCTGTAACTAAGTGTCAAGACATTTTTGTTTAAAACAACTGACACTTAAAAGACCATGATACTGGATCTTGCAAACGAAAGGGAATAATCGATTTAGATAAAAGGCTAAAATAAAACAGAAATATTTTGTTGCACCATGGAAACCATTTCGGGAATATTTCGAGAATGTCTCTTATATTGTGTTACGACAGTTGTTATAGGAACGTTTCTGAGGGGAAAGAAAGGGGCAGTGAAGGATCATCGCAAGCTCAATCCTGTGCGTTTTATGTGTCATTAGTCTGAATGCTTGCAACGACAAAGAAAATGGACACCATCAAGTCATTTCGGACGAACGATCTCTGCAGCGAAAGCGATTTTCAGAATAATTTGAAAATAAAGCGAACTGTTTCTATCCAATATCAACGAACTCAAGTACTACTTAGGGAATTGCCGACTGTTTTAACAAATATGACAATATCCTAGGGAGATTAAGAGATTCTAATATCATAGAAGTCTTTGAAAACATATAAGTTCCATTTGCAGCATAGAAGTACATCATTAATCGAAGAACAAGCTCGGTAAAGAGACTGAAAAGAGAGCAGACCAGCTATGGCTTCAAAATTTGTGCTCCTTCTTTGTCTCGTGGCTTTAATCACGCCACTCTGGAGTTTCCCATTGCAAACAAGAATTGGTAGGTCTAAAATAAGATTTTAAGAAACCTTTTACTGGTATTTCAATTCTCACTTTTAAGCCTTAAATCAAGGCAACCACCTTTGATTGTGGTAAGCGACGAATAGCCAGTTGTGGTTAACTAATTAAATTGCAGTACGTGGTGTATTCAAAATAAGTCTTCCGTGGTGACTTGTGACTTTTCTTTTCTCAAATTAGCTTAAACTTAATAGTAAATACTCCGCCACAAGAAAAGAAAAAGATATCGAGGCCACTTTAGGCCACTTAGGCATACCTGCTTTTAGGAATTTTCATCTTAAACCTACGAAAAAGGTGCCTGACCTTAGAAATTTCAATAGTAAAACTGTCTAAATCACACTTTCTTTAATTTTAAGTTAAACGTGACGAGTCTTCTGTAAGCGTGGTGGACAATGGTCCGGATGATAATGGAAACGGTGAAAGTGAAAGCGTTCTTGATGGTAAGTTACTTTAAACTATCCTGACTTTGTCTTTTTCTCTACTAGTTTTGGCAATCTTTCACACTCGAGTACAGTTAATGTTAAGTGCACACGGGAGAAGCTACAATATCTATCTTGGCAGTAACTTATCCACTCTATCCCCTCGGTAACTTTCGGGTCGCCGAAGCATTTGAAATCGAGACGTAGATGTCGAGTCTACTTCGGAAATCAATGTAATTTGAATATGATCTTTGGACTGATCTTCGGTCACATTTGAATTTGTTTTCTAATCAACATAGTATACATCTAGATACTCTCAAATGTTTTTCGAGATAATTCACAGTCCTAACCTCAACTCAAAACGTCGAAAAGACCAGACGACTTCCCAATACTTTAAATAGTAATGGCACTAAAGATACTATTTGGGTCAACATGAATTAGAAGTGATATATATTTCATTCATTTTTATTTTGTCATTAACCAGAAATACAACAACATTATACAGAAATACATTAAAGATAATAGACAATATTCCAACTAAATTATTTACAAGATCAAATGTGGTAAAGGCAGGGAAGCCTATATAGAAGCCGAGGGCTTATAAACTATCGGTTTCCTGGAACTATAGGGTAAACCATACAAGTTAAGGGTACTGAATGAAAATTTGGATTAATTAAAAAAAAAGAAAGAAGAGAAAAGAAGACAAAAAGGAAAAAGAAAAGGTGTGTAGCTCAACAAAGAGTCAATTTAACTAAGAAAGAAGGAATTTTTTTAAGTCTTTTGCTAAACAAACTGATACTTTCACTGTTTTGAATTTCCCGACTTAGTGAGTTGAAAAACGTAGGACCTTGAAACCGAATTGAGAATTTTCGAAAATTAGTTATTAATGATTGAATGATTTTTGTGAAAAAAAAAATCGTTCCAGGGAGTTGTTAATTAAAGACTTTAAGCTAAGTAAAGACGGATTGAGTCCTAAATACAAGTCTTTTTTTCTCTCTCAGGAGATGAGAATGGTGATGAAAGCGGTGATGAGGATGACAGTGGCGATGGCGATGACGGTGACGATAATAGTGGTGATGAAGATGGAGATGATGATAGCGGTGATGAAGATGGAGATGATGATAGCGGTGATGGTGATGACAGCGATGATGATAGCGGTGATGAAGATGGAGATGATGATAGCGGTGATGGTGATGACAGCGATGATGATAGTGGTGATGAAGATGGAGAAGATGAAAGCGGTGATGGTGATGAAAGCGACGAGGATGACAGCGGTGATGGTGAAGATGGTGACGATGACAGCAGAGATGACGATGGTGATGACAGCGGTGATGACGACGACGATGACAGCGGTGATGATGATGACAACGACGAGGATGACAGCGGTGATGATGATGACAACGACGAGGATGACAGCGGTGATGGCGATGACGGCGACGACGACAGCGGTGATGATGATGGTGATGACAGCGACGATGACAGCGGTGATGACGAAGACGATGACAGCGGTGATGACGGTGACGGCGACGACGACAGCGGTGATGATGATGGTGATGACAGCGACGATGACAGCGGTGATGACGAAGACGATGACAGCGGTGATGACGGTGACGATGACAGCAGTGATGACGACGACGATGACAGCGGTGATGACGACGACGATGACAGCGGTGATGACAATGGCGAAGACGGCGATGATGACAGCGATGATGGTGATGACGGCGATGAGGATGATAGCGGTGACGGTGATGACGGCGACGATGATAGCGGCGATGACGATGGTGATGACAGCGACGATGACAGCGGTGATGACGAAGACGATGACAGCGGTGATGAAGATGGCGAAGACGGCGATGGTGACAGCGATGATAGTGATGACAGCGACGAGGATGACAGCGGTGATGGCGATGATGGCGAAGATGATAGTGGCGATGACGATGGTGATGACAGCAGTGATGAAAGTGACGATGGTGATGACAACGGTGACGATGGAGACGGTGATGACACTGCCGACGTTAGTGACTACGGTGATGAGAACAATGATGCTGGTGGTGTTGCAAGTCAGGATGATGCATCTGACTATATTGACAAAGTTATGAAGGGAGATGATGCTCATAGT